CCACACAGTGCAGCTGTTTTGTTGACAGGGGTCTTTTGTCACAGTATCTTGCCTGCTGACATACGTTGTTGATCTCTTTGCCTGAAGCCTCACTTTGAGTTAATGTCATCAAAGACTAATTGACAATGATCTCGGTCCCTTTTCTCTGTCAGATTTGACAACTCGCAGTATGTTCTGGATGTGTGGGGGGGGGCGGATTTCCCAGAGACGATGTCCTTAGGCTCTTCCTCGCTGACGTTCACACGTCACTTTTCTCTGCCATGTCAAGATCCTCTCAGAGATTACGCGAGTCAACTAAGGTTTGAGAGCAGCTACGAACTGTTGTAATTTTAAGCCATTACCCCAACCGGTTTATAAAACTGTTTCAGAACTTTCGGGCCGGTGGCTCTGAGAGACGCATGGCCATCTGGGAGGTCCTGTAGCTTGCCGGCTTCCCCCGCGGTGGCCCCCGGCGTCCTCCCTCGGTGTCGGGAGAGCCCGCGTGTACCTGGAAGGACGTGCCCTGACGGCGTCCCTCCTCAGCCGGGCAGGCTCCCGGGATTGGCTGAATGCATTTCCAACGTCAAAAGCTTTCTGTGCGATTTTTACAGCTTCTAAGAGGCCCAAAACCCTGGGCTCAGACAAGGCCCGCACGCTCCGGGGTTCCGATTCGCCCCTCGGTGCACGGACCCCAGTGCCGACTTCCTGGCGAATGGGCGTCCAGCCCCTGCTTGACCTCCGCAGGGCCGGGCTTCGTCAGTTCCCGGGGCAGCTGGCCCCACGCGCGGCCGGACCCCACGGTCACCCCACGCCCAAGCTCCCACCTGCGTTTCCTCACGGTGCCTGCCGATACCCCACAGCCGCGTCCCCGTCTTTGAGGGCCCCCCTTCCCTACGAGGCCCCGGGCCCCTGTCCTAGGAGGCTGGGGAGGCACCACGTCGGATGGGAACGAGGCTTCTTGTGACCTGCGTCCCGCTCCTCCTCTGGGGAATCCGGGCGCAGAAAGGGGAGACTGCACTGCCCCGTCCTTGCTGGACCTGCCCACGCCCAGGCTGAGCCCAGTTGAGCGGCCTCGGCAGACCCCGCCCACCGGGGGGCTCGGGGCGGACTCTGCGCTGCAAACGGGGTACAGAGTGCCCTCTCGTCACAACCCCGCTTCAGTGTACCTTCCTCGTCCCTGCGGGACAGTGACAGGAGGGGTGCGTGACTGTCACGTGCTTCCCGGCTCCGCCCGCCTTCCCCCCGGCGGCCTGCGTGCCAGTGGGCAGCGAGGAAATGGGCCAGTCCAGGGACGCGTCACACAAAGGCCAGGGCACGTCCCAGTTTTCAGGAACGTTCCCAATCTCGATAGTAACTCACCTTTGAGACTCCAGGACACGAGTCACGCAGGTCCGAAGGGGACCGTGCCGCCGCCAGGAGCAGGAGACGGGAGGAAAGCAGCGTCGTGATGGGGCCTCGTCCCCACGTCGCGTGCGGTGTTAAGACTCCAGAACACGAGTCACGCAGGTCCGAAGGGGACCGTGCCACCGCCAGGAGCAGGAGACGGGAGGAAAGCAGCGTTGTGATGGGGCCTCGTCCCCACGTCGCGTGCGGTGTGGGCGCCCACGGCCACGCCAGCTCTCGCCTCCGGCACGGTGCGTGACACGTCACAGACACGGCCGACGTGCCATCGCCATCCCCCGCCCAACCCCCAACGGCCCAGGGGACCCCGGGGCACGTGGCGAGACATCATGTGTGTGCCATCTGGTGACCAGGGGGTGGACAGAGAATGCACACTGCTCCCTGGGGAAGCAGCACAGCCACCTCCAGGCCCCCGAGGCCGAGACAAAGTGTCCACCAGGGGCTGGAACATACGAGCGTCGCAGGCCCACGTCACCTGGAATTCCCCACCTCAGGTGACACACGAAGATGTTGTCACACCTCAAGTGTGACTGGCTTTTCAGTTACACGTCACTACCCATGAAAGAGGTGGTGTCACTGCGGCCTCATCAGCCACACGGGAGGAGGAGGCCGCAAGCCAGTGCGTCTCAAAAGCCGCCTCCAGTGAGGTCTGCTCTGCGGGCCGCCAGCTCCACAGGCCTGGCCACGGAGGGTGGACGGGACCGAGCCCCAGCCCGCGGGACTGCGCTGGGACCGGCCGGCCGCGGCCTGCGCTGCTCTCCGCTCTCCCCCGGGCTGAGCCGAAAGCCACGCGCGAGCTCCCGCCAGCCGAGACGCGGGCTCGCCTCTCAACTTCAAGCTGAAATTCCGTCGGTGCACCCGGGAGCCCCAGCCCGGTTTCTGCCGTCCAATCCCCACCCCCTCTGACCCGACGCCTATCAAGGCGTGTGCTTCCCCAGGGAGCAGCGTGCATTCCCACTGATGCGGGATTCCTTTCGCGTCCGCTCCCGACGTCCCATGTGGCTTACGTGGCAAGGCGAGTTTGTGTCTGGTGTGGAAATGTGAGATGTGGTGGGAGGAAAAATGAAAAATTCAAAGTCACCTTCAAAAAAAAGTGTGTGTACGTCCTGGAGCCCACAGAGGATTTGGGGGTGGGGACACTCTGGCCATTGACCTTTCAGATGAACTACCGCGTGAATCACCCTAAAAACTCCGACACAGAATTAAAGAGCGTCACTTCGGTTTGCGTTCAGCCGGCAAAAAAACACCACCACAGACCAAGGTAAGATGTGGAAGGATTTCAGCCGCCGCCTGAAACGGAAAAAAGGTCTTACGAATTTCAACAACTTCAAGATGTTTTTATTGATTTCAAATTCCAATAGAATGAATATGCTTTATCTAAATATTTTATCACACAACTGAAACATTGAATATTTTTTCAGAAATAGTTAAATACATCAATCTAGTTACAAATTCTAATATAAAGAGTACAAAATATAATGTTATAAACTGTATTTAAAAAAAGAAATACAAATTCTATGGTCTTTTGCATTTTACTGCCTCGAAGTATAATTAGCAAGACTGATGAAGAATGAACCCCCCTTGTCACCGCGCGCAGGCGCGGGGCGCTGCACACGCGGGCACCGCCACGCCAGGCCCTGGCCTGTCGTCCGTCTTTGCTCAGCGAACCCCATGTCCGTGACAAAATCCCAGCAGAGCTACGGGCGGTGAAATGACTCAGGCGCCTCGGCCGCGCAGACGCCGGCGTGGGAGGGTGAAGCTGTACGGACCCCCACCCCCCACACTGTGTGCGTCACTGGAACCTCTCGGGGTTTGGGGGCGCTACCTTGTCTTGTTTCCGAGGAGGAATGTGGGTGAAGAGAGCCTGGCCATGAGCACCGGGAGGTGCGGTCTTCTTCACACAGACTGAGAACCGCCGTCACCCTCTGTGAGGCAGACGCCCGCGTCCAGGCTGCACTGTCGGCCGCCACGGTGCCCGCACTGGCGCCCTGGAGGCAGCCTGCTACCCGTGCGGCCGCGGCCCGCCGTGCAGGAGTGCTGTCACCAAGCCTGCCTGTGCGTGTGCCGCGGCGAGGTGTTCACAGAACGTTCTAGAACCTGTAGCAGGGTGGCCGAATCTGAACACAGCTCTCGATATTCTGAGCAAAACCAACCTTCCTTTATCTTGCCAAGTGGCCAAACGTAATTCCCAGTGCAATTTTCACGAAAACCTTCGGGAAACCAGTGTCTTTCTTGGTTTAAATAAATAACTATGGTGAGTGGGGCAACCTCTTAAAGCACTTAATACTTTTCAAAACCCAAAAGGGCAAACTCCTCTTGGCTTGAAAATGGGTATCGTGTTTTGACCAAGGTGACGTTTATCCACCCAAGGCTGCCTGGGACCTCCCGGGGAGCGGGCAGAGAAGTGGAGGAGCAGCGGACGATTTCCCAGACAAGGCGCCCGGCGGCTGGTCTCCCAGAGAGTGCACATGCTCATTCTTCAAATTAAGGAATATGAGTGAATAACCTGAAAGATTTCTATAAGCTTGTTATGTGTTATTTGACTTAGACAGCAAGGGAGAGAGGTGAGCGGGGGGAAGGACGGGGTGGGGACAGCCGCCCGGCACAGCTGCCCAGGAGCGGCCCGGGCAGGGCGGGGAAAGGGGACACACACGGAGAAGCTGCAGTGTGGACAGCCAGACCCTTTATTGTCTAAATCCCATTAGACGCCAACACTGTAAAAATCCTGTTAAGAATCGCAGAAACAGCAGACTGGCAGAGGTAGTAGAAATCGTGACACTCAGAGGTGACCTACAGGACAGATCGCGCAGAAATTACCATTCGGAGAAAAGCAAATCAAAACATACTGGCTAAATAAATAAGAAAACACAAATCATATTAAATACTATGGTCGAACCACACAGATGCGTTAACAAACCGACAGGATGCTGGTGATCGGTGTAAAAGGACCCATCGGCCCCGAGAAGCCGGCTCTCGGAGGGCGCTGCTCCCCAGGGCCCCGCCGTCTGTTTAGCTAAGCGGAAACCTGAGTCCACACTCGATGCGGCTCACGATTATCTGAACTGACTCAGGCGGCCCCCTCTCAGCCAGCTGCCCGGAGAGGGGTGCGGGAGGACGCCCCCTCCCCGCCCCCCGAATGCCAGCGGGGCTGCCACGGACTGCTTCAGGAACAGCAGGAGTGGACATGACACCTCCGTGTCACTTTGAGCACAGAATTTCTTTTACTAACTAAAACACAGAAAAACAGCCAGGACCGAGTCCCTAGCCCCTGGCTGTTCCCAAGCTGTCACCACTTTCAGCCAAGAAACTAAAGGCCAAAAACACAGAAAGTATCACTTTGGGGAAACTACCAAAATGATCAAACGTGAGTCAACGGGAAGGCAGCTGATTTCTAAGGTGGACAGAGGAATGTATCTGCAACTTTGCTCAAAAGAACTTTCCGGAACAGTCAGTCGCTCAGCAGTAACTGCAAGGACACCCCCAGGCACACCACCATGGCATGTCGCTCTGGTGTGCATGTGGCATAAGAACATCAGGGGACACCAAGTAAGAAGAACTGGGTGTCCACACATACACACAGGTGTGTGTACATGAGTACGTGTGTGTGTGTGTGTGTGTGTGTGTGTCGTAAGAACATCAGGGGACACCGAGTTAAGAAAAACTGGGTGTCCACACATACACACGGGTGTGTGTACATGAGTACGTGTATGTGTGTGTGTGTGTGTGTACATAAGCTAGTCGGGTACATTGCATTGTTTGCAAGTGTCACAAAGTAACCCGAACCGTCAAGTAATTTCAACTCAGTAACAAGTAGAATCCAGAACCAAACATTAACTAATAACAATAACAACAATAATAATAAAATAATTCAACAAATCGTCAGAACAAAAAAAACCACACTCTAGGGTGTGGGTGGGTGTTTGTTTGTGTGTGTGTGTGTGTGTGTGTGTGTGTGTGTTTAAACACGTCTTTGTATCAGAAGCCCATTTTCTACAAAAACTGCATAATCTATTACTGCATTGAGTAAACTGTCGCTCTCACCAGTATTAAAGGTTAAGATAATTTCTGTACATGTAAAATTATTGCTTTTTTGAAAAATATATTTAGCATGCTTATTTTAATCCATTTCCTGCCTTTACAAAATTTCACAATTAAAAAAAAACCTAGTAAAGCTTTTGCAAAAAATTTCACAGAACATTTCCATTCAAGGCAGCAGTAACTTTTGATAATGCATAAAATCATATGTGCAAAACTCTGAAACTCTCAGAAATATCACCGTCACACATGGTGTCACGGCGCTAGGACAAGGGAACATTTGTATCTGTGGAGTACAACGTTCACTGCGCACGCCGCAGGTTTAAGATCCTTTGTTTTGGGCCTTAATCCCCACCACAGAAACTTGCATTTGCGTGACTGAGGAAGAGGTATATGTGGCCACCGGCTCCCAGGGCCTGGGGGCCTCCACGCTCTGGGGACAGAGGTGCCCCACCTGTGGAGGGCGCCAGGCCCACGAAGGACACACCTGCTTGCCGAGGTGCTGCCGGGACGGGGGGACGGGGAGGTGGGGGCTGCAGGGAGGTGGGGGCAGAGGAGTCCAGAGCCTTGGCACCCTGGTGGTCTGGGGCCAAATCTGCCCAGGGATTCTCCCGCCGTGACTGACATGGGCCCAGACCCGGGGGTGCAATGGCTGGGTGGCCGTGGAGACGGGTGTCCCCTTTGTGCGTGGCCTGCAGGCGCAGCCCTGTCACGAAGGCCCTGAGAACAGAGAGCGCCCCCAACCCCCGGCGCTGGCCAGCGCTCTCCCCCCAGCCCCCCGCGGACAGCAGCACCCCCAGCCGGCGTCCTCGGCCGAGTCACCGAGCACGGGGTGAGCTGCGGGTGGAGCACGTGGAGAGCGCAACGGGCCCCAGGGGACAGGGGACGCGACCGAACCACGAACCACGGACTAGTGAGGGTCTTGTGGCCGGCCCCCTGCCCCCAGCCTGGCTCGCACAGCACCGAGCACGCCCCATTCACGGCGTGAACGCCCGCCGAGCAGGGCGGGGGCCGGGCTAGCGCCGCGCCGGGCCCGGACAGTCTGCGTGTCGGTGGCTTCTCTCGCAGCGCTTCGGGCCACGTGCTGTCCCCACACACAAGACCCTTTTCCAGTGTCTCAAACTTGTCTTGACCACACGGATGCCCTGCGCGCCTGCCGTCACCGCCGTCACCGCCGTCGCCGCCCGGAGCCACACGGTGGCTGACAAGCACGCACACTCGCGGGGCACCTGCTCGGAGCTCCCCGCGCAGCGTCCGTTCGCTCTGCAAAGCCGGGCCAGCAGAGGCGCCCCCGGTCCCCGCTCCGGGGTGGCGGTGTCTGGTCGGGAGTGTTCCCGCTGCTCTTCGGGGGGCGGGCAGGGTCGCTGTCTGTCGGGATGGCTGGGTGGGTGGCTCGCGGCCGGCGTGGGGCGTTAGGTCCCCTTCCTGAGAGACTCTGTCAGGACGGCGTCTGTGCTAGCACGGTCTCTCCCCTGAACGAGAAAAGCAGACAGCAGGAAAGGTCAGGGCTGCCTTCCGGGCCCCCGGGCATGTCCCCCACCAACGCCTGCCCGAGACCACCGACGACGGCCATGCAGCGGCCTCGCCAGGCCGGCGGCCCCCGGACGCAGTCTCACACGGCCATTCCTGGGGTTCGAGGGTGCTCAGACGCCCGCCCGCTCCCCCTCCCAGGACAGCCGACAACAGCGTCTGACCCAGCTCTGCAGACATAGCTACAGACGTGGCAGGGCGGGCTGGTGGGGTCAGAGACGCAGACGTCCAGCAGGGCAGGCGGATGTGCGTGCAGGTGACAGTTCCAGAGCAAGGCTGGCTTTGGGGCCCAGCAAAGGAAGCACAGCCCCACTGCCTGCCAGAACTGGGAGCACGCTCTGACCTGCCTGCCCCCCGTGGTGGGGAAACTGGGGCCCCCCGAAGTCAGGCAGACAGCGAGATAAAAATGAGGGTACGTGTGAGCCTGCGGCTTTTGGAGGGCGCTCACGCATGGCCCCTGAGGCATCCCCGTTTGCACAGCAGCATTCACAGGCTGAGAACGAACAGGGAAGATTAATCTCACTTAACTGCATTAACCTTTAGCTGAAGTCTTGATGACATGCAACCGGCCACTCGAGATGAACATGCACAAAAAAACAGAGCCTTTGTAGAAAATTCTAGCTGGTTTCCAGCTATGTCCACGGGACCCCAGAAACGGGGGTGGAGGGCCTGCTCGGCATAACAAATTAAGCACCTCTCTTTCATTAACCGTTTCGGAAAATCCCTATTTAAAATTAGCACTGTGCTCACAACCCCCCCCCCACCTGCCCCGTAGCAGACACACGTGTCAACACTAAGTGGACGTCGGAATGAAAGACGACATGATTCAAGGAGGGCTGGGTGGGCACAGGGGGACGGACGGCATTTCCTTGAAACGCAGGAGTCAGTGACCAAACGGGCAGTGTGACAAGGACACGGTGAACCTCCTGCAGCAAACCGAAAGGGGCGTCCATTTCTGCACGGCGACGTCACACAGTGGGGAGACCCATCGGGCACGGGCGGGGCTCACGCAGAAGCGCTGCCAGACGTCTTCGCGACGGGAAGCGGCCGTGAGCCGACAGAAAACGGGCGTTGCTGCTGGGCATCTGCAGACTGGCCCTGACAGTCCCCAGCAAGTGGCTGTGAGCGGCACAACAGACTTTCCGGTGACTCCGTGAAGTGGGCGAGAACGAGCGTGAACACGTGTGTCGCGCGTCTGCATTTCATGTACGTGACACGGAAAACGCCCCCAGGGATCCACCTGGGCTTCTCTCTCTCTGGGCCAGGAAACACAAACTCGCACTTGGCAGCATAGAAAGGACCGACAGAGAGGCGACAGGAAGACGGCCCTCTCCCCACAGAGGACGCGGCTGTAAATTACAGGGCTTGGAGTTTTTAAACTTATTTTAAAAGGACGGCACGATCTGGACAACCTGGATGACGAGGTTGTTCCGTCCGTTTATCTAGACGCAGAGGTGCCTACTTTATAACCGAAGGGTGTTCAGCAGCATCTTACTTAAGCGTTATTTTCGCTTACTGATTCGCTGGGACCAACATTCTCTATCTGACACAGCAGTCCTACACGGCTTTTAAGAAATGGATGAAATCCATCTGAGAAATCGGGCGGTGGGGGGCGGAACACAGCCGTGGGACACAAGAGTCACAGGAACGCTCAAACTGGGTGGACACGTGGTACTGGAGCACACGCATGCTGTTTCCCCCCCTCCTACAAAGAAAGAGTCATCGGGAGATGAGAAGAATGCTTCTAGAAAATGTGGCTTTGCTTTCTTGCAGCTGTGTGAATTGCGGGCTTTTCAGTAACGCCGAAGGAAGTCATCTCTCTCTGAGCATTTTAATGTTTAGGGATGGACAGTGACTTCCAGAACTTACGGGGTCTACGCGCCCCTCTTTCGTCTCTATAAGGGATCTGTGTATGCCGAGGAGCGGAGGTTGGTGGCATCTACACGAGAAACACCTGCACCCCCAGGACACAGGGACCCCTTGGCCTTCAGAGGTCTGGCAGCTGGTGGAGTGAGGCTGGCAGTGGGCACACGTGGTGTGACGCCACCTGCTCACGCATGCCCCCGTAACTGTCGGGGACTCTGGTAGTGCGTTACGCTCACAGAAAGGGACATGTGCTTCAAGATGCTAGGTTTGACGAGGGAGACAAACGAGCTGAACTTTGAAATTCGATCTGTGGTGCTGAGACCCTGGATGTGACACTAGGAAGAAATGATGCATCCGTCCAAATCCGCCCACCTGTGTGACCCCGTCGCTGGCTCCGTGACACCCATAGCTCAAAGCGAGACAGATTAGGTTGCCATTTGTTTTCATATTTCCTGTTATTTTGATTAATGGAATTGTTTCTGCAGCTCAATTATTTTAAAATAACATTGAGAATAGTAAGAAATAAACTATTAATCACAGTCTTTAAATTTTTGCAAAAAATTTAAATCAAAACTCCAGTTTTTATATTTCAGCAAAAGTCGTCTGGTCTTTTA